TACAACTAAAAATGTTTACTTCATTATTTACATTAGGATATATAATTTAGTTTTATCATGGGTTCGTTTCGCAGTTTACACGAAGTGTTAACGTTTTTTCTTCAATGTCGAAAAACTGTCTGTCTGTCTGTCTGTCTGTCTGTCTGTCTGTCTGTCTGTCTGTCTGTCTGTCTGTCCGTTCGTCCGTCCCTCCCTCCTCGCCTTGTCCGGGTCCGAGTCCGAGTCCAACCATCGGCGCACCGAAAAAAAGAAAGAAAAAGAAACACTCACTAAAGGCGGCCATGGCATGGGCACGCGAAGTTTAAACCTCGTATTCCGAGCGTACACCGTACCAGGAGACCTAAGTCGATGGCGAGTTCAAGATTCGCAACCTGGCTAGATGCCACACGACGACGGTCGGGCCGGGGTGCGCCTAGTGGAGCAGGTCGCTCGGAGTGCAAGCCCTGCGCTGCACCACGCGTGGAATTGAACAGCAGAGAGAGAGAGAGAAACCGAGTCGAGAACGCATCCCAACCAAAGACATAAAACATAAAGTGGTTACAGTGGCTGAAGAATATTGTAGAATAAGGAAGGGAAACAGAAAACGCGCCATGAAAAATGCATCCTTAGTTGTCATTATCGCCCCGTGCCAACCCCCCACCCCCCTACCCCACCCCCTACAAACGCGTCGATAAGGCACAAGCACGGGCACGACTGCTGGCGGTCGGTCTAAGTACCCTCTTGCCTTAAATCTCTGCTGCCGCGTGCAAAACTTCCGATAAGTGTAACTTGAGGCAAAATGATGGCAACACTGCTTAAGGGGCGGCGTGGCGTGGCGTGGCGTTTGCATCGCGGGGCACGACGGGTGCGACCACGCGGCAATGACACTGACTCTGGGCTTCGCCGCCCCCACGCCGCCCCGCCGCCACGCCGTCCCCTCCCTTCTCATTGTTCGTTTAGAGTGCGCGCTCCTCCTCCTCTGCTGTCATGTGTCATGTAACTCGACCTATGGACCGCCACGCCAGAGGAGGACAGAGGACACGCGGACGGGAGAGTGGACCGCCGCCGCAGGTTGGCGGCTTATGGTGCCCGTTGGCGAGCTCGTTGGCCTCGGTGACCTGCTGCTTGTCCTCAATGTCCTCGCCGGGCACCCCAACCACCCTCGCGATCACGCTTCGTCCGCAGGGACTTCATCGTGTCGCCGCGGCTCACCCCGGACGGCTGCCGGGTCGTCATCAACGCCCTCAAGGACCCGGACCCCGGCACCTTCGAGTTCGACGACTACCAGAAGGTGTTCCTCATGATGCTGGACGCGCTGCTCCTGGCCGAGCCCACGCTCCCCGGCGTCTACATCGTCTACGACATGCACCTCGGCTCCATCGCCCACTTCTGGAAGTTCGGCTTCCTCTCGCAGCGCAGGCTGTTCGCCTACTTCCAGGTGCGCGATGGGTGGCCTACCCCACGGCGCGAGACACGCGTGCGAGGCCGGGCGCCTGGCCTTGGGGGTCGTTCCAACACCTCACGACTTTTAGGGGGTACAGATATTATGAGGTCTCAAAAAATTGCTCAGGATGTTCATTGGAGTGCAAGGGGATCCCATGATATTTTTACCCCTGGTTACAAATATCATGGTGTCTCCTTGGACTCCAATGCCCATCCAGATCCTTTTGGAACCCCATAATATTTGTACCCCCCCCCCCCCATATTCAAGTCACGTAGTATTGGAACGACCCCTTGCAGAACTTCCCTCGAACGCACCCGTGCGTAGCGGGCTGCATCTCTACGCCTACCTACAAGGCCATGCGCCATGCGTCAAGGGAATGCCTGGTAGTCAGGCGTTAGATGCAACCCAACAAACACCGGTGTGTAATAGACGTGGGGAACGCGCTTACTTTACCTTATCCGCTGGAGTACGCGCGCTCTTCTCAAGCTCCAATAAGCTCGGGCGTCTCTCCCCCTTTCCAGTCCGGGCTCCCCATCGTGCTGAAGGGCATCATCCTGCTGCACACCCCCTCCTACATCACCACCGTGATGAAGGTGCTGCGGAACTTTGGCGACAAGAAACGCCTCGACGAGGTCAGTTCGCGACGCGTCGCTTTTTTTTTGCGGAGGTGCGAAGCTCCTTCTCGTTACCGCTCTCGTTGCTGAGCGCTCCCTGTTTCAGACCAAGATGCTGACGGGGGATGACTACTCCGATCTGCACACAATCATCCCAAAGGAATGCCTTCCTCGTGAGTACGGCGGCACACTCTCCACCAGGGCTGAGCTTCACGGTAAGTACAGATTTTGCTTTACAGGGGAAGGAAATAAAGCTTGCGCAACCGGCGCAACCAGACAGACCGTGCTCATTATGCTCGATTACTCACTGCCACCTTCACATCATCCTAGAAATGACACTCCGAAGACTCGACCGACTTCGCGATGTGTTCGCCGAAGAGGAGGAGTCGCTGAAAAAGAAATGACATCCACGCGACGACCTAGCGCGGACCGTGCAACAATGGACTATAATCAAGGAGTTCTGGGACATCGCTTATCGAAACGAACACCCCGCCAGCTCTTGAAATGACACAGTGCGCCCACCACTTTTCCGGGCGATTTACTGGAATGCTGTCAAAGGTTGACGGCCTTTTTTAAAAAATGATATTTTCTTAGTGCGAGGTAAATTATTGCAATAAATTTTAAATTTCTGTACAAATAAGTTAAAAGGTGATCAATGACACGACCATTCTTTCCTCTTTTGTATCAATGAATGAGCCATAAATCTTGTGACTGGGAAACATGTCGAGTGAGAGTGATACTCAAAGTCAACTTATTTCTTCTACATGATGCAGAATAGATATTGAATTTCTCACTGGGCATTGTAGTTTAATGCAGAGTGGCACCTTTCGATCAAGCACAGCACAAGTGAAATAAATTTTAGCACATTTATAAAGGAAAGCCCAAAACGAGCCAATGGTTTTATTGAAAGTAAAGTAATAACAGAATACAACAATATCTGAAGATTTCCCTCACATTTGTAGTTAATGTTACTAAAACAGCCTGACAAGGGCCACTCAATTTAAACAGAATTTGACAGAGGGATGAGAGTAGTTTATACTCCAGGTCTAGAAGTTGTGAGATATTCTAAAACCAAAAAATTAACAATCATAAAATGGTATTAGTGTTTAAAGCTGATAACAGCTCTCACAGTTGTATTTAATGGTCCAAAACACACACACACATTTGGCATGTACTTAATATAAAGGTCTGAAACTAACAGCCATGTAAGAGACAAAAATGTTTTAGAATATGTAGTGAAAGCCATCATCAGACATTTATTTGCAAATCTAAGATACAAAATAGTCAATTAAACCAAATGCAAAATGAGAAACAACCACAAATGGCATATGTTGACATTCAACATTCAAAATACCTCGTAACATTTGGATTTTACTTTAGGTTATACTCTCACCATAAAAAATACATTATATACACATGCCCTTCAAGCAATACTATTGCAGTTGGAAGAAATAGCACATTATGGGAAAAGATGTCACAGAAATTAAACTTACTAATATATTGCAAGGAAAGATAATAAATGTTTACGATCTATCAACCAAGCATCATGATGAAAAATATCTGCAATGACTAAAACACAAGCCACAAGTACAATTAAAATACCAACTGCAAATAAAGTTATGATCAAATTAACATAATATAATTGATATATGATAGATCAAACCTAAGATATTCACATAGCTTCAAAGAGAAAAATGCAGATTTGGCAAGCAATGGGGAAAGAGAAAAGGGACTGAACAGAATACTGAGAAAAGGAACAAAACATTCTCCATCACATTTGATGCACAATAAGTTTCAATACAAAAGTGAAAAAATGTTTTGTACAAATATTAATAAGCAAAATGATTTGGTTTTGACAAATGCAAAACAAATTGAAGTGAAAAATACAATAAACCAAAACTCAATTAGATCCCAAATAAATGTTTTAATACCTACATAGTCCACAAATTTCTTAAGAGTCAAGCCCCACAAAAGTGTAAAATACACTACATTGAAAATACATCAGACTTGGCTTGCTGTAATGACTTTTGCAACAAGGAATCTATTTAACAGTAGTTAATAACTCTTGTATTCAATTATATACACCCAAAGGTAATAAAATGCACATGCAATTACATGGCCACAATGCCCCCCTTCCCCAACACTAACTATAGGAGGTCACAAATGACAACAACATTCATCATTGGGTTTTCAATTCTTTACCAATGCTGTACGAAACAATCTTATTCCAGTCAATCTTAGTTCGTGTAACTGGTAATTGACGTCGAAGTGCCTTGAAGGTTGTTTCAGACATAGTTTGGTAATTTTCAGTAATGGCATTTTGGTACTCATCTTCAGCCTCTTGAACAATACGGACAAACTCTTTAGCAGTTTGTTGTTCATTCTGCAACAAAATAATTGAATGGCAAATTTTATGGAAATAGTCTTGCGGAGGTACAATGCTAATGAATCCATCAGATTCTGGGGGGGTGGGCAGACAAACCTACCGTGATAGTTAGGATTTCCTCTTTTACATCCTTAGAGCTCACAAGCTGAACATTTCCATCTTCATAGTAGTGCACCTGAACTTTCAAAATTCCTCTAACTTCTGCAGCACTGGAGGATAAAGTTACAGACCACTGGGATCGCCATCGGCCATTCCTACAAAATAATGTATCATTCGTTAATACCAACGATCCAGATAAACTATGTAGACTGATTTCAATGTAAAATACTCTGTATCACAATACCAATAGTTTTTCGGTTGAAACTGGTGGTCTTCTAGGCATGCAGTGAGAGTAATAACCCCATTCTGACTTTTAGCAAAGACACTGCAAACACCATGCTTGTAATGGGCATTGGTGTAATTTATAAATTCAGTTTCCAATGCAGATCTCCATAACTCTGATGCTGCATCAGGCTCCCATGGCTAGAAAACAGATTGATGTGAAAAAAGAAAAAAACTTTTATAACATCAAAAGTTGAAGTGAAGAGCATACCTGGAAATCAGTTGCTTCTCTACGTAGATGGTCATATTTAAAACTTTGCCTTGAGTGAGCATCAAAGAAGCGATTAGAGCCCAAATCATTGTGTTCAGTAATGAGCACCTGATGATCAGAATTTTCAATTTTCACAGGTGTCAGCTGATCCTTGTTGTATTGAGCAAAGGCACTGATGAGAAGAAGAAAAAAAAGGGTTACTACTGCACAAGCAGATGTCAACACATGTAAAGCAATGCTATTCATTCAACCTTACCCTGATGCTCCTTCTTTCAAGAGCGAGTCATTGTGAAGTAGTACCCTAACATCTAGAAGAAAGAAAAAAGAAGTGTAAATTTGAGTGTGAATTTGAGTGTGAATTTAAGAATCAAACTGGCCTTTCTTATTTCAATTGCTCCAAGATCCAGGAATAGAATATATAAAATATTTTATTTTAACTTACCATTAAAAACTTCATTGAATTCGCCTGGAGGGGAGTGAAGGATGAAATCTGAGACAATTCGGACCTACACAATAACAGGAGAGAGGGTACAATTATGAAATAGAAAGCAAACATATGTTTTCATGTTGATTCAAGCTAATCATATGCAGAGTAGTTTATTGGAGAATTCAGAATTACAATCGACACTGAAAGAGTCCTATTAAAATAATTTAGATACACTGACATGAAAACAAAATCAAGCAGATAAAGACAACTAGGATGATGTAAGGTAAAGCAGGTTTAGAGGTAAAGATATGTACAATGAAAATATATGTGGATTATCAACTGCATAAAGAACTCATATCTGTTGATAGCAAGAACACACAAGTTAGACTGCTTCATTTCGATCTTAAGCCAAATGTATTGTGACCTGTTGTGTTATGCTGTGACATTAACCTTTCGATAATGATAATGCTTCGGGGTACTATTTGACTGCAGTAAGCTGGTCACGAGTAAGAATCAAGAACAGACGAAAGGAGCTTTCTGACACAAACATACATATATGAAGTATGCTAACATCACATTGATTCTCAGAATGGGCTAGGCCCATAACTGACGTAACATAACCATGACACTAGAACGATTAGGGGCGATCAAATACACGCATTCAAGTTCTGACAACTGCAGGACCACAAATAAGTCACGAAATACAAACAAATTTCATTAAAGTCAGTAAATTTACCTTTTCTTGGTCTGAAATTGGTTCATCACCGTCCGCCGCCATGTTTGGTGCCTACAAAAACGTCGGATTGTCGGATTTCGGGTTGTCCAGTTTTCGTTTTCGCCGCAGAAATACTTTGGATTCCGATTCACATTCAGACAAATGACCTATCTTGACCTGTCTGCTATGAGACTAGTGCTCAACCGCGAAACACTGATGAAAAATAAAATTGTATTCCTCGATCAAGCCTTGAACGTGAAGTGTTGTAATTTATTGGGAAAGGTTGAAAAACCTGACATCAGTTTTGTTTCTGCTCAGGCTTGTGCTATGGAATCCAGCTGTGTTGATAAAATAAGTGATAATTGAATGGGAATGAATGTAAAATAAGAGTTGTAATTTAGACCATACAAACATATAGCTTTATTTAAGTTATGATATACATATAGTAACAACCTGTACACAATCATTTACTGGCAATATATATATTCTATTATATATAGATTTCTGATTTCATAATTATGTTCAATGTGATTAATTGAAACACTAACAAAAGGAAAACTTTGGCCAAAAGTCACCTTTAAGACCTTATGCATTTCTCTGCATAGAACCCTACTGGCAACAAGTGCCAACAAAGTTGATTGTCACATTTATGTACCTCAAAAATAACAGATGAGATCTTTAATCTGAGCAGTTAGAATAGGTAGAAGGTCCAGATGTATATATATGTGCCATAAATAATTTAAAAAAACTATTCTCACAGTGTAAATAACTCGCAAACAAGCTGTGAAGACAAATTTTGCAAATTACTAGAGAGTAATAAAAGAGACTATTCATTCACAGAAAATTATTCAATGCCTCAAACGTAGGCATGTATCTCAGTCAGAAGTATTTAAGTGCTTAGTGATGAGAAAGTATCAAGCTCTATAGAGAGAACACTTCCCAAAAAAGGCAAAATAAATGCCACAGTAACTGTCTTTGTGCCTTTCGCCTGGAATTACAATCAAAGACACATTAAAAGGCAATAAATTCACTACACTGTTCACTATGAGAAAAAAGTCAGACTCAAATTGAGACTGCCAAACAGTCTATAGGTAGATACTATTGAAATTCTTGGTAATAAATATATCCTGGGATCCAGCCCTCCTGCAATATAGGATGTTCACATTCCTTAGACCCTCAAATAAGAAAATCAGCAACTAAGCAAATCCAATAACCGTCTATCACAGGAGAGGACAATTCTCCTTCCTTCAAATTGCAATATAGGTACAATTTAATGCATTAGATTTTTTGTTGTGCATCAATCAACATAACAATCAGGATAATTGGGATTCATAATGAATTTACTGTGAAGCATCAGTCACAAAGAAGGCCCATGTAAAGGATAGAAATTACTCTAAGGATGAAAAAATATCTTTTTATATCAGTCATCATATGTTGTACTGCTATGTCGGCATGTTAAAAATTTGGTCCACACATAAACAAGCACATCAATAATAAAAGAAGACTACTCTTATAATTTTGAAAACCAAAGGTAGGTTTACATGACTAAAAGTTAGATTATAAGAAATCTAAGCAGCTTAACAAACGACATATAGCTGGTCCCATAAATTCACTCTCAAATTAAGTAGCTTCAATAAGTTAACAATGCCTAACAGTAACTAGACATTGCCATTATTTAAAATTCGAATATCAACTCAATCCTGGACTGAGTATGATGAACATAGCTTTGTAAGGATGGAACCACTGAATTTTGATTTTGGAAAAGCCTCAGAACAGAGAAGATAAATTTTGACATTAATAAATTAATTCTGAACAGTGAGGTATTGGTCACAGGGTTCCAACCCCTAATCACTCGAAATTAACAAGACTGTAGGATTTTATCTCACAGAAAAGAAAATGATGAAAACTGATTATAGGTAATCTTAATCTTAAAATAAAAAGCTTGGTGCATAGTACATATCACACCCCATTACCCACACATTTTTCACAAATATGATTATGAAAGTTATTATTAACTGGCAGTAATAAAGGTGCGTGGTACACTGATACCACAAAAACTTAAAAATGGAGTGAAAAATGAATTTAAAAATACAAAAGATCAGAAATGAATGTAGCAAATTCCACATGTAAAACAAATTAAAACATTCATTCCAAGAGACTAGTTCTATGCCTTTTTCACCATAGGCAATTTCCAAAATTATTTGGTCAAATTTTTAACTTAGGTATTTGCCTGAAAATCCAGGCATCAACTCCAGCACTCAATAACAAAATTTAAAATTACCTTAAGACACTAACAATAAAAATGACATTACATTCACAATTTCTTCTTGGCACCAATGTCTCCTTGTAGCACACTATTTACTTAACCTCTTCACTCTACTCCGCGTTGTGACGGATCGCGTGCGCCCACAAAACGATTGACGATGTCGCTTAGATAAGCTAGATGATGCAACGAGAATTTTTGTAGTTGGGAGGAGACTGCTAGAACCGGCTGCAAATGATGTCATTTCTAAGGCAGCTTTCAGCTGTACAGCTCGCTTGGGAGTAAACTTTGTAGGGGTCTAGAGAAAAAAAAAAAAACATAGAGAAATGAAATATAAAGGCAAGGTGTAAATAATCGAGTAGAAAAATAAACTCACATGAATAGAAAGTCTAGATGCTTTCAGGTCGACATTTTGAGAACGAAGGGTGTGCACTGGCATTGCAGAATGAGTGTCGGATCTCAAAACTCGTGAGCTACTATGTTCACTAGAACAATCTCTGCTCAATGCAACATCACAACCGCTAACAAAATTGGAGTTTGAACGTATTGATACAGATGGTCTACGGAAAGAAAAGATTATTACATCAGTACTTTAGACCAGACAAACTCAAAAACATTATTTTCGTAAAAAGAATTACCTTGCTTGCTTGACTCTTCCAATAGCATTACCACTGCAACGGATCCATTTCTTTTTCCTTCGGGTAGAACAGCTATGTGCATTATTTTCTTCAGATCCTTCATCTAGGATTTACAAAAATAAAAGTTAAAGATTGGCTCTCAATGTAGATACTGAAATAAATACAGCTCCCTAACACCCCAGTATTTACATTACCTGAAGGTCTCAACCGGTTGACACAATGAACTGCCCAACCTGTCTTCTTGTTTTCCTCATCGCTGGTTCGCAGGTCATCTTCTAGTCGTCCAACTGCTTGAAGAAGTTTATCTTCTGAACGGGTGCGGCGCTTGGAACCCAGTTGATAGCCTGGCCCATAGGCAGAATTGAATCCTAGGCTTTGACTTACTAGCCCTGCTGCTAGAGAACCAGTCCTAGAATCTAAAACACTGCTGTGCCGCCTTCTTACAATCCCACCATCACCTAAAACACAGCAGAGGAAATTACAATCAGAAAATGGTTCAAAACATGAGTTTAAAGTATAATAACACAAGTATTAAGCTCACCTGATGCACAAGGTGATTTCATCACACCAAAAACATTGTGGCTACTAGTGTCATAACCAATTACAGTTCTTCCCCGCAACCTTTTTAATGAGTGTCTTTGAAGAGACTCTGGAAGTTGCTGAGGGGCCTCTTTCACACCAGGTAAATCTTGGGGTTTATTTTGACTCACACAGGTGTCTTGCTTGCGAAAAGAATGTTCACTTTTTATCCCTACTTCGACCTTCTCGTCTTTAGAAGGAGTAGTCGCATCAGGGAGAGGTTTCAGAGGTTCAGAATGTTTCTCTGTTAAAGTTGTTTTTAAATCTGTGTTTGTGGATTCCTCATTATCAGAGCTGTAAAATAAAAGATGACGTTAAAGATAAAAGAGGGTAAAAAAATTACAGTAGTTCAGATCTGACACAGAATATTAAGCCCTAGACTTCTTACCAATTTTCTTTTAAGGGCATAGGTAAGGGAAAACCCAAGTCAAGTTGAGGTTTCAACACGTCAACAGATGAAGGTGGCTGCGGTGTTCTGCATGAAGTTTGATCATGGGATTCAGACGGTTGACATGTGGTAGCTGGAGTTGGTTCTGGAGAGTTGCCACCCTCACACACCCTATTTGCTTCAGAAGTATTAGATGCCTCATTGTTTGGTGATTGAGGAATGTTGGTAGCAGGGACTTGCTCAACTGATGTAGGTCTCGTAAATATTGTAACTCTTGAACAGGAGGGAGGGGTTGTAGAGTGTGAGGGAAGTGGTTCTGTATCACTTACAGGTGGCGTGCTCTTCTGAGCAACCTATGGAAGATACAACAGTTTCATGAGTTTCATGAAAGGATAAGTAAAGGGGTAGATGGATAGATTAGATTGACACTTACAGAATGCAGAACTGGTTGAGGCGCACTTAATCTGTCCCCTGCTCGTCTTTGAACTCCAGGAGGGTCCAACAATAGTGTCACAGCACTAGTATTGTCAGCACGAGCACCAAAATTTCCCCAGCGACGGAGAGCTTTGTCGACTAAGCTCTTTGATGGGTTTACCCACATTTGATTCTAAAATAAAAAACGAAATGTATGATTATGGATGAAGAGAGAAAGGTATATATTGTTATTGAATAATACAGGGTTGCTTTCGGAAGCTATTAAAAATAAAATAAATTACCTTTGCTGTAGCTGGTTGGCCAGAGAAATAAACATTTTTCTCATTGTGTTGCTCAGCAGCATGCACAATGTGAACTCCGTCTTGAGGATTGAGCATGTTCCATAGTCCATCAGTGCCAAATATTAGGCAACGGTGTGATTCAACATCAATTTCTATTACATGAACATCCGGGTGTGGTGACACTACAAACTCATCCGTATCAGAATTATAACTCCACAGGTCCCCTTAAATAAATACAAAGAGAAATTAGTAGAATTATTGGATTGAAAGTACAGCGTGAAATTATGATAAGTTTTCACACTACCTAAAGAGCGAGCAACTGCTAAAAATGGAATCTCATCAATCGGAGTAGAACGTCGAACAGGCCCCTTGTGCCCTAGACGAGGCCTATTCCACACAACTCGTGGAACACCCGATTTGGCAACAACTTTGCCACCACAACTCTCAATGCGAGCAACTTCGTGGGCATCTTCTGGTTTGTGATCCTTGGTTAATGCCTTCCCAGTCCATTCTGTTTGGCCTGGAAACAAAAGTGAAACAAAGATATAAGTTTCATGACTGACAGGAAGTTTAAACAACAAATAAAATTAAAATACATACCTTCTTTCTGATACCCAAGAACAATGGATGAGTCGCCCACATGACCAATGTAAATTTTTCCTCGACGAATAAAAGCAATGGATGCTGTGGTTCCTGATGTGCTAGGCAATCCGGAAGATGTTTTGGGCCAGTTCACTACAAAGGGGAGGATAAAAAGAGTAAAATTATGACAAAATATTGCAAGTGTTGCTTTATAGTTTAGTGTTACACAATTGACAATAAAACAAAATAGAAAAATGACATGCAGAAAACGGCCAAGTGTAACTAGACACTAGATAAAAGGGGGATTCACTGCCTAACATTTGAACTTGGTCAAAATATTATGATAGTTTTCAAGACACAACAAAAACAGAAGGACATAGCAGAAAATCAAGGTTAGGATAAATAGAAGGGGTAAGCAAAAATATAAAGGAAACGCGAGGATAAAATTAAAAATACAAGATATGAGGCAGGTGTTGGTTGTGGAAAACAATATGAAAGAAGTTTAAAGAGGATCAAACTTTTGTCAGAGGGAGGACAGGGCGACAAGAATTCAAAATATGTCTCTATGGTCAACGAGAGGGCCCTAACCTTAACAACAACTTACCTTGATCTTGCCACATAGCATGATGCGTTTGAAGAAAACCGTTGGTGATGGCTTGCAGAACATCATCATCTTCCTCGGACCAAAATCTTTTGTCGGCCACAATAAATTTCATTAAATGTTCCTTGGCAAAGAGGGCAGCTTCCTTACCACCGTGGCCATCGAATATACCAAAGAAAGCGTACTCCAACTTGTGCTCATCTTCTGACGGTTCATAATTCAGAACGAAGAAATCTTCCATGTACTTCCTATCTCCTCGAGATCCATGACATGTAACCCTTAAATTAACGCCTAGAGTTGCTGACATTTCGACGGATTTCGAATTTGCCGTTACGCCATAACGCGACCAGACCACACGCACGGAATGCTGGGAAGACTTTGTTTGAATCTCATTGGTGGCTTGGCATGACGTTGAGGAAAGTTTTGTGCAAGCACAGACCTGCGCTTGGCCCGCTTGGCTTCAGCCCGCTATCTGTCGGCACACCACGGAACTGCTACGAACGTTGTTTGATGGTTCTCGTGACCGCACAGAGGTGGCAGCACTATAGGCATACGCGGTGCGGTGCTAGGCAATCCATCTTGCGTAATAGTAAAGCGGTTTGCCTATCTTGAGGCGTTCTATTCATTCGTTGCCGGAACAAATTCGATATAACGCTCCATTCATTCCTCTTGTTTTTGTGGAAGTAATATCTTTCGGTATAAGAAATGTTTTTGTGGGTTAAAGCTTGCAGTGCAGTTATTTTTGGCCGCAGCGTACATTTACAAATGTAAAAGTTTTTGTAGCTATGCTGACGCACAACAAAAACAAGTGGTAAACCAAAAAAAAATGCCAACTATTTGTTAACAAACTAACTGGAGCATTGTCTACATTTGAACTACCACCTGCTTCTTCATCTTGCCGTCATGCCGGTTGATATTAATAGATTGACAGACGGTTGGCTAGAATTAGAGAGTGATCCAGGTATATATTTTTAAGAAAATGCCATCATCATCATTATAACCTTGTTTACTGACAGCAAGTTCTGCTTGTGTCAATGCCATATTGACAACGTCTGTATTTCTAGGTCTCTTCACTCTTCTTTTAGAAGATTTTGGTGTCAAGGGAGTGCAAGTTGAAGAAATCTATGACCTTCAAAAATCTTTAGAAGGACCTGTTTACGGATTTATCTTTCTCTTCCGTTGGATTGAGGAGAGGAGATCAAGAAGAAAGATAATTGATCAAAGTGAAACTTTCGTCAAAGATGACGATGTGGTCAATAGTATATTTTTTGCCCAGCAGGTAAGCTCCAGTCAATGTATTTGTTACTGTCTTACAATTTTTTAGCATTCTTAATTGTAATTTATTTTTGTTGCTCTTTGTTTGTTTTTATTACAGATGGTTCCCAATAGCTGTGCTACGCATGCATTAATATCGGTATTGTTGAATTGCCCTAACATACATCTCGGTGGAACACTGACACGGTTAAAGCAACATACTTTGGGGATGTGTCCGGAAAATAAGGTTGTGCTTATATTTAAAATTACAATTCACAATTTTGTATCAGGATTTAATATATTTCTTTTAAATTGTTGTCTCAGGGCTGGGCAATAGGAAATACACCAGAGCTAGCTTCTGCTCATAACTCCCATGCAATGCCTCAAGCCAAAAGGAGGAGGGATAAATCTATTGGTGTACCAACTGGACGATCTACAGGAGATGCCTTTCATTTTGTTAGTTACGTTCCAATCAATGGAAAACTGTTTGAGCTCGACGGACTTAAACCCTTTCCAATGGACCATGGTAATATAATTTTTTCTTTCTCTAATCGTTTGGGCATTTGCTGTGAGTAAAGTTTAAATTAGTGTTGACAAGTACCATGCATATTGTTTCAGGCCCGTGGTCTGATTCAGAAGATTGGACAGAAAAGTTCCGTAAGGTCATTACAGATAGATTAGGAATGTCCACAGGAGAACAATACCATGATATACGTTTCAATCTAATGGCAGTTGTGCCTGACAGAAGACTTGCTCTAACTCATAAACTGAAAATGTTAAACACCAACAGGTCAGTGAAAAAAAAGCTGGTTTGATTAGTATAACCATTTTAGAACCTCCGTCTAAAGCTCTCAACTTCAAACTTTATTTTACAGACAAATAGTTTCGGAGGCTCTCCAGCAGGTCACAAAAATTAAGAAAAAGGGGTTAAAAGACAAAGAAAATAAATCTTTGGTAAAAGATAAATTGTCTGTAAAAATTAAGGAGGAAGAGAGCAATGATTCTACTTCAGGGGCTGAAGTTACAGATTCTGACATTCTCAATAATGTAAAAGTTGGAGTGGGTGAGTTCTACTGTTTTAGATTTAAATAAAAAAGCCACAGCTTTTGATTTTTGATGCATCTGCTTAATTAAAATGATTATGCTGTCATTTTTTTTGTAGGAGGGGGAGATGGTGCTATCATCAAAGAGGAAAGGTTTGTTGCTGATGATGGTGTTCCTTTTCCTGTGAGTGATGTGTCAATTGTTTTACTAGCAGTTTACTTATTTTTCAGCTGTAAAATGGAAGTTGATGAGGAAAAGTGTAAGCCACCAAGGGACTACACAACTCCTCTGACTATCCAAACTTCACTTTCTCCCAGTGTGAGCACAAGTTGTACATCCAGTACTGATACAAGTTCAGAAGTGGGATCAGCATTTAATAGTCCAACAACAGGTATCTTAGTTATATAGTTAATTATTACGTAATGACCAACATTTCAATTATTTGTTTTCAACCACACATATTTTTTCTTAGGCTGGGGATGGAACTCTGGTCAAAATAGCCCAAGTGCATCATTATCACCGTCAGGTATTGTTTAGGGCTTAAGGTTCTTTTCTGCTCTGAGAGATGTCACAATGTTTCTCATTTTAAGTGTCATCATAATCCGTGACATTTTCCACAATTTTGAACGACATATTTTCTTTGTTACAGGAAAAGGCCTTGTATCTCAAAGATTGAGCTCACTCTCAGTACCTGGTCCTAAACTACTCCCCTCACCTGGCACCTCAAAACCAGTATCTGATGAGGCAGGTCAAGAACCTCCAGCCACACAACTATGTGGCACAACAGTGCCATACACACCCCAACAGTTCCAGGCACCTCATGCTTTTGCTCCACAAGATTTACTTGCTCTTCTCAAAAACCTAGAAGCTGAAATTAGCGTATGTCAGGCCAGTTTAAGGGACGAAAATGAAAAGAGGAAAAAATACAAGGCAAGATACAGTTAATTAATGAAGGGATTATGAGGCTACCTCACAATTACTGTACTTATATAATAGTTTCAATTTTGTTGGGCAGATTGATGACAGCCGAAGAATACACAACTATGATGAGTTCATCTGCACTTTCCTTTCTATGTTAGCTGAGCAGGGTAAACTGGCAAGTTTGGTTCAGCAACATCAGCTACACAGCAGTAAAAAAGTGATGCCCTCCAGGTAAGATTTAGATCAATAGTTTCTTGGTACAGCCACAAAAGAATTCCCAACTCAGTTCCTTATTTTTAACCAACCAGGGTAATGAAGAAGTCTGAGCCCAAAACTCAAACAATTACCAAGAAAAAGAGAGGGAGAGGGAAGAAAAGAAGATGATATGCATGGCATAAGTTTTATCCACCTTGTAGCTGCTCTGTCAGCTTGTCTTGGTTGCAAGTTTTCAAAGAGTAGCTGAATGGTGTTTATGTAAGTGTAACATTTGGTGGCTGTGAAACAAAGAATAAATATATCTATACCGCAATACAATGCATTGGTATTTCGTGGGTTTGGTTTGAAAAAAAGAGAAAAAGCAGTGATGGGAAACATTTTAGCCTTTATTACTTTCTGAATAGGAATATTTAATGGAAGCCCCCATTGAAAAGCTCTTCAGGATAGGATTTGGATGCCCAACTTTGACTAACCTAAGTCATACAGCAACAGGAACACCAATTAAACATTCAAATACAGAAAAAGATGATCAAATTGAAGCACACGATGTTGGGGCCAAGTAACACTCTACATGGTCAACATTACAGTGGCCTAAAAGTAGCCAGTATGGCACAAAAATCAGAAAGTACAAAAAAAAGACAGGAATGTGCTTCAGAGCAACAGCATAATGTGACACGTTCTAAAGACGATTATTTTTAATAAGAAAATGTTAAAATAGCAGAAATGAGTTGTGCAATTATACAAAAGCAGCTCAAAGGAGAAACTAAGGATACTTAAAATGTAAAATTATTCAATCAAGCCAATTTTGTCTTTGCCTGAATTGGTTGGAACCATTTTGCCAGATGGCAACTTAAAAAAATTAGGGCAAATTAATTCATTCTTAAATTATAAAAGTCACAGATGTGGCAATAATTCTTGCAGTTGCAACAGTTTGTGCAATTGCAATGAGAAAAACAACAAGTTTAATAGATGTATCAAAATACTATGCATTATATCGACAATAAATGGTGAGGGGAATTGCCAGCAGTTGTCTATAATGGCTCAAGTAGATCAGTTCCTTGCCAAACAAGAAGTGAAGGATATGCTTTGAACTTACTGATTCAGGAATGGAAGAAACAAAGTCATTAATGGTAAAATTGCTGCCAAAGCTCAAATGATAGAAACTGCTAGCACGAAAGATCATGGTGGGAACATCACTACAACTACCAAAGCTCTCCATCCTTCTCCTTGGCTGGGACTTCTATTACCCTAGGTTTATCAATAATACGTGCAGTGCGATTTCCTTTCTCAACAATGCCAATAATCCAAGCTTGGTACCCTTCCTGCTTCTCAATGTCCTTGCAATACGCAGCAGCCTGCTCTCTTGGTAAACAGATAAGCAGCCCTCCTGAAAAGATAAAGCCATGTTCTGGTCAGTTAGAAGATTGCAATGTCATAGGATTCATATGAAAACAAATCCAAAATCATACCAGAGGTCTCTGCGGAGTGTCCTTGTAATAACTGGAACATGTTGCCACATGCCTTAGCAACAGCAGCCATTTTAGCAATGACTGGTAGATTGTGGATAACAAATGAGACTTCATTCTTTTGATGTTTTGCTAAGTTCTGAGCATGGCCGAGTAAACCAAATCCAGTTACATCTGTTGCTCCATGAGCATTATATTTGTGCATCAAGCGAGCAGCTGAAAATATACAGTAGAGTTGGTACAACTAATACTAAAACATTTCAAAGGCACATTTAAATAGCTTTCTAAAATTGTAGAGAGAAAAAACCACGATTCTGAAACATTTCAGAGCCATAAAGCGAGCCCCTCAAATAATTTTGCACCGGTACACGACCACAAATGAACACTATCAAGAGTGGTGGAAAATGGTGCCAACTAAGCAATAAGGGAAAAAGTTTATTTTGCCAATTCTAAAACTGTAATATGTTTCAAAGATGTATTTCAGTAGAAATAATTCAAAAACTGTTGAGGGAGAAAACCATGATTCTGAAACAATTCAGAGCCATAAAGCAAGTCCCACAAATAATTTTGCACCGGTACACGACCACCAATGAACGCTATCAAAAGTGGTGGAAAATGGTGCCGATCAAGCAGAGGAGGAAAAGTTTCTTACCAATTCTGTTTAGCCTGGCCATTGAATCCATTGCTCTCTGGTATGCTTTCCTAACATCATCCTCAGACACCACAAGTTTTATTCTATTCCACCGCTCTGGTAGATCCAGCCATTGATGTGCATTGACTGCAACTTGAGTTCCTAAGGGTTTGGTGAGAACGAGCACATCTCCGACAACAGCATTATCAGGGCTGTAAAAGAAGGCATTATTTTATCATCTGTAAAATACACCAAATTTGTAAGAGTGAAAATACAGGTAAAAACATACACAATATACTCGTTTGGTTGACAGACTGTTGAGGCCACTCCACCAATTGTACACCATGGATTAACTACTGTTTGCCCACCAGTAACTGATGTGCCTGCTTCTAATGCAGAATCCTGAAACATTAATCAATAAAACTTACAGAAGTCCACACCTGCTTAAAAATTATAAAAATAATTCAGAATGTTAGACTTTTGTCCCAAGTTAGTGTCAATGCCACCAAAGTTCCTGAAACAACTTTATAACAAAACAGAACACAGCAAATTTGTTGACATGTTTCCTTTTAAGAACATTAGTGTTCACTGAGCCAAACCTTGAAACCTCTCATAATAAGTGGAACCACAACATCTCTCTCTTTCTCTGTCATCTTTGTTGACACCCCCAGCAGCATGAGCATGTTGTCACAGTCGACCACCCCCATAGCATACAGGTCACTTAGCACATTTGCACATGCAATTTTACCTGTAAATATAAGATATACAAACACTGATTATTTTTCTTCTTAAATAACTTGACTTGTCAGAAAATGAAACTTACCCATCATGTATGGGTCGTCTACAAGGGGGTAGAAGAAATCAGTGGTCTGGACCAGAGATAGCCCACCATGACGCAGTGGAACTACGGAGGAATCCATACCAATGCCTGGAACAACATTTGATGAATAAGAAAACGCTGCAGAGTATTAATGGAGTACAACATTTCAACAATTTAAACCATTTAAAGATTAAATAGTCAAGTGATCATCTCTGATTAAATTATTGACTATCATTCAAATCTGCGCAACATTGTTACAGACCTAATAAATTTCATGGTCAGACGTTTAGGAAATTTGAGGAGACATGTACTTGAGCACATGGTCGGAACAACAAAAACAAGGCAGCAAAGGCTGTTCTGAAATTTTTCTCATAGCCAGTTTTAATTTTTTTGTGAATTTTTGAAGATCAGCCGCGAAAAGCCCGCCCTCTTGCGGAGGGCGGTACGGCCCCAACCTAACCCAACAATGAACGGATGAGACCAAGGTCAATACCCGATCTTGACGCCGGCGGGACGGCGCAGGCCGTAGCCGGCCTGGAATCATGTTTGACCCCTCAGACCAGACTTGCCAGGGACGCTGAGATTTGCATTCGGACTGCATGGCAAGGCCAGTGCGAGGGAGACAAGCACAACGACCAGAGACTAGCCGGTGCCTCCCGGCCGGTAACTCCACCCCAACCTTGCCACAACATGGCGTCTACCTACGCTCCTCTACCAACACTGACAAAATTTCAGGCACTCTACTTACCAATTCGCGGTATAGCCATATGCATAAAGTGGGCATGTTCGTCCTGGGCATTGTTTTCGTCTTGCTGCAGTCCCTCGAGGAGTTTCCCAAGAACCTCCTGAGGGACCTTACACCCTCATCCTTTTAGGTCAGCAAAACGTGTCAGACGGAACGAAGCGTCCAAGTCATGAGCCACAGGATCGAACGGCCGACGAAGAGCCATGGCATTTGGATTTCCTCCTAATTCCAGCTGCGCCACCGTAATGGCATCCTGGGACACGGAGGTGGCCTGCAGCTCCGCCATCGAGCGTGGGTATTGGTTGTTGGAGTAAATTTTTGCGACTTGACGGGGACTTGGGGAGAAGAAATTGCTCGCCCGCACGACACCTCTGCACTCCGCACGTAAAATGGCGTTCTCCCTGGCCTGCCCGCAGCGCCCCGGTGCGCGAGGAGACGCTGGCCCAGCCTGCGCTCTGATTGGTCGGCCGTTCCCGCGCCGCGCTGAGCTCGGCTCGCGGGGAGCCGTCAGTATTTCTCCCCGCACTAGGCTGGCATAGCAACAAAAACATGTGGCTTGCGCCTGTAAGACGGGTGTGGATGGAAGAAAATTCGCAGTTTACTGCACCAGATCAACCCAAAATTGTGGTTAGTTGCCGCTCGTTTACCCTCATTTCGGTTTAATGCTCACCTCTACCAAATTCTGTCCGACTTCCGTGCACGAGGACCGGCTGGCGGGGCGGGCACCCCGAGGGAATCCCTGATGGTGAGCAAAGCATAAAAAAAATAAAAAATGGGGGTGGTGATGGGGGTCGACATGTACATGTACCTTCCCAAATAGATTGTCTAGATTAATAGTTTATTAGATCATCTGGTGTTCCCGTGTGTCTCGCTGAGATTTCGGTTAGCTCAAAATAATCTTGGTGCAACATGGGCAAAGAAAGCGTCTTCTTCCCGCGCCGCGCACCCTGATATTTCCTAGTTCCATAGAGCACCACTTACTACCTCGGTGGGTTTAAGAAAAATAGTAAAGTCAAGTCCCTAAGCACTCTACACCCATGTCCCTGCCACACCGTCGTTTTCCAAAAAGACGAGAACAAGTAACGCCCGTGCAGCTGCAGGTTGACAAAAGCGACAAAAGACGCTGGCTTGTGGGACTCTACTTGTGACATGTCTGCCCCCCCTCCCCCCCTTCCTGAGAACGTGGCCTCGTTGAGGCAGGTAGTCCGTCGAGGGCACTGGGGGGTCATCCACCTGCTGGGGGTGCAAGAAGGTGGAAGGGGAGCATGCAATGCACCGTTATCCCCCCACCCCACCCACTCCCCCTCAGGCCAAGGGAGTCCGGAGTCCGCACTCCGCACCGCAGGCATGGAAATGTGCAACAAGAAAAATATGGGTGTTTGTAAAGATACAGCTCCATTGTTTATGTATACGACATTTACAAAATAATTTATTTACAAACAAACATAAATAGATCATTCCTGTCATAAAAAGACCTACTCAAATAACTAGCACTGACACAAAAAAACAGAAACAGATGTGGTCAGGGGCAAATGAGAGGGGACCATATAACTCGTTATGGTTTTACCTTTTACAGAACAAGCAAAAATAGGACTGTGGTTTGCTTTTGTCTAATTGTACCTTAACAGGTGCAGTCGGATACCATGTACCACGTGGCACAAGCAAATGCTTTTTCAATAATATTAAAAAGAGCTGACTATATAAAAAAACATTTACATAAAATTTATAAATTTAGATTAAAATTACATCACAAAATAGATGTGACAGTGTTATGAAAATAATGCCAAGAAAGGTTGCAGGAATGACGCACACTCACTCACACAAGAAATCCGCAGACAGACAAATCCACTCGCATTGAGTTCTGTACACAAATAAACTTCCATTCACATATAACAGCGAAAATCTGGTATGGATTTTTTTTTTTTTTTTAAATAAGAGGAGATTGAGAGCAAATTGTAAAAAGGCCATTTTTACAAAAATTTTGTGCCCATATGGTATCATATTGCAGGTGAGCAAATGCCTCAAATATTTGATCCCTTCTATATTAAGCACTTCTTTGACTGGAGTAAAGCTCCAGAAAAAAAAGGAGTACCCTAACATTAGCACAAATTCAAGTCATAAATGTCTACCAAGACAATATTACTGTCTATTAAATATTGGCACTACCCATTTCTAAAACAGGGACTGTTTTTTAAGTATTAATAATGAAACAAAGTCTCCATGAGATAAAAAGGAAGAGACTGTTTAACAAACATCAGTACAAGATTAGTAAAAATAAATAAACCAGAACATTCTACTCACTAATTCATTACAAAAAACACCTAGCTAAAAATCCATCATAGAGTCTTCTGGCATGTCCATAAAATCATCATCTGGCAGTGGTACCTCAGAAGGCAGTGGTTGTAAAGTTGATAATCTGTAGAGGAATTAAATATTAATGAGATGAAAATCTAATTATTTCAAAGAACAGAAACGAAACAAATCGTTGCTCTTACCCAGAGGAAGGGAAAAGATTAAGGTCCATGGCGCTTACAGAATTATTATTGTCCATCAAATCATCCCAATTACTGTGATTAGAGGACTGTGTTGAGATATTAATGCCTGAGGTGCTTGCCTTAGGTTCAGTATTCTGCTCCTGCAGATGGTTGCTGTCTTTTTCAGCTGTGGCTTTGACATGTTTAAAAATACTTTCACCTGGAGGTTGCCACAGTACTAGTGCGGTAGTTGGTCTTTCCCTGTGGATAAAATTTTGGATTAAAACTTGAGATAACCAAATACACTTTTGAACAGCACTCTTCATAAATTCACCCTTACTTACACTTTGTTTAGAAGGGGGGAGGGTAAAACAGATGATTCTGAAATGAGTTTCCGTAACTGTTCACAGAGAGATACTGTTCGGTCTTTCCCATCCAGGGTTGTATCTAATAAGGATGGTGAATCTGATGAAGATGATGCTGATTCAGTTAGGGAGGGTGATGATTCTGGCAATGGGATTGACATTGGCTGACTGCTGCCAATCTGTAGGAAATAGATTAATGCAATATTTTTAACCTTGATTTTCTTCAAATGTTGTCCATTTCTTTAAATGAAAATTTACAAGTACACTACCTGATGAGATACATAACTATTGCTTATGTGCAAACAATTTAGGTTTTCTGCCATTTTTTCTTCTGTTATGAGCTGCTTGGCGGGTGGAACATTGCTGGAGGGGGGAAAAAACACAAAAACCAAGGTAAAGATACAGGTAAATGGGATAAGAAGGAAACTCAAGATCAGATTACTTGAAGAAAAAATGAAATTGCTCTATTAATTAAAAATAAGTTAACAAATAGGTTTTCATTTTCGTTGCCCATGAACTCTAAAAGTTGCAAAAGTTCCTAAGTTTAAATATTCTGGAGTGTTTTAGAATAGTATTGACATGAGGGTTCTAGCAAGTTCTACAGGTTCCAGAAGATTCCATAGAATTCTGCAAAAGGTTCTATAGAAGTCCAGAAGGTTCTATGGAAGTCCAGAAGGTTCTATAGAAGTCCAGAAGGTTCTATAGAAGTCCAGAAGGTTCTATAGAAGTCCAGAAGGTTCTGTAGAAGTCCAGAAGGTTCCAGAAAGCTGCTAGGTTTCAAGAGGCACTAAAGATATCAGACAATTCTTTCTACATAAATCTACGATTTGTTATGTTCATTTCAATGGGATACCAATGTCTGTTGGATATTTGTTTCCATGCCAAGAAGAAAGTTATCAGAATATCATATAAACTTGATGCTATAAAATTAATATCTCTTCTTGTTTTAAGACCACAGAGTGATACAATTAAAAATAAACTTACTATTCAATATCACAATCCCAGCTCTTCCGTTTTGATTGTGACTTGGAGAGTGTTTGGAGATCAGGGTTCAGGGCCTTCATTGCAAGATCAGTAGTGTTCAGAGAATCACCAGTGAATCTAACAATGGAACAAAAAAAATAAATTAAGAAGGAACCATAGGATATACTGAACTACTACATAAAAATGCCCTCAGATGTCCTTGGTAGGTTGTACCTCATTACAGATGGTTGGCTTGCATCAGGCAGACTCCACGGCATTTGTGAAGGAGGAGTGTGGAGCCAATCTGCTGAGGAGCTATTCATGAGTGCGGGCTGAAAAGGCTGTTCCACATTGAAGGAAGAGCATCCATCAAACATTATGGACAATCAGTCTTGATGGTTCGGGAAGCGCTCTGCCTGCAATAATGAGTATGTACAGACTTTAAGGACTTTCCTAAAACAGAGATCACATTTAACTTTGAATTACATTTGTTCCAACTACTGCAGACGTTGAACGTAAATTCAAACAAACATAGCTTCAGTGTTATGAGAATTGAATATTCTAACCTTAAAGTTCATTATACTCCCAGTCAGATTAATAAGACTAGAAACTGTAGGCATAAAACAGAACTACTGACTTACCGCTGGCCTAGCTACTGTCCTTATAGTGAGTGGACTGACACCTGTCGGTATGGTATATTTTTGTCAATATAAAAGATCCAATAAGACGAAACCTACACAAGAGAGGCTACAGCACAGCTCAGGAGCTTGCCCATTCCAGCTCTAAAACCGATATCTTGTCGGAGTGGCTTCTCTTAATGTAATCAGTGTCATCAAGATATAAAATAAATGAAAATGTCTTCAATGGATGTCACACAAAACCCAATTGCAGTGCACGAGAACGCGAGCAAACGACCATTGACAGCGGAGTGTTTATTTCTTTTATAGTGTTGCCCCCACCACTGCAACAACTGCACCTGAGGAAAGGGGAGGGGTGGGGTTGGGTGTAGATGTCGAAGGGGTTGCCGAGCTAGTAGGCGCTCACGATCCACCTTCACAGACATAGTTGGTATTATGCTCATAATAATGAGAACATGCTTAAAAATACGTAAAAAATATCTTGGAGACAGAAGTAAAAAAAAAATTCATAATTTAAAAATTTTATTTGATAAATATGCAAACACTGGAGCACATAAAATGTTCATTCCTAAAATATTATAAAAGGCAACGTTGAAAAAACACTGTCATTCCCTCCAATTATGTGCACACTGATGGTTACAGCATTTATAAAATGTTGTCATAGGTTCATCAGCTGATCTTGTCTGAATCTGCATGAAGTACGCCCTTGGATGAGAACACTTTGGACACCTCTCCTCCGTTGAATCAACATTTTCCCAAGCGGCAGCACCGCCTAAGACATCATCCAGCTCCTGAGAAAGGAACAAACATAACAATAAATGGTGCATTTTGAGACAGCGAAGATTATCTTTAAAAGCTAAAAGACTACAATCAGATCAAATGCATGAATTATATGATCGGATAAAATTCTACATTTAAAGTGAAAATTAAATGGGGACAGAAAATGAAGTCGATGAGAAAACTGTTCAATACCTTTAATTTGGGGTATGTTTTCCTTGTAATTCTCTTCGTAACATCGTATTTAAAGGGGCAAGTATTGCATTGAAACTTCATTCGGATAGCACCCTCTGCAGCAATCAAACAGTTCCCACAAGTGGGGCAGAATAAAAGCATTTTTGTTAAAAGATTAATTAAGTTGGAAGTTAAAAATAAGATAAAATTTTGGGAACAATCTGGAATGAAAGTTGTTCTAGTTGTAGTTTCAAACAGAGACAACTTCTCTGTCCCAATATCATGCGTTCAGAAGGTTATGTTGACATATTGGTAACTAATTGGTAACTTCCCCGCTTCCCCTCTCCCTTCCCCGTGCCGCCGCCAGCCCCCTCCCTCCTTTTAATTAATGATTATTTGCAGAACATTCACGGCGGGAGTCTTTTGAAAGCTCACATCTGATGAGATAGGGGTGGGGCTTGGGTGGGGGGTACTGTGTAGGGAAGAAATATGGAATGTTCGAGAGTGTGAGAAAGTGGACATTTAATAAATTTAAGTTCCCTCCACACAAATCTTTTTACATAGTGGACCAATATGGCTTTCTTCCATTTCTTCGTCATCGTTGTCCTTCTTAAACTCAGTTTTGCAAACAGAACGTTCAATGAAAACTACAGATTTTCCTCTTTTCCTACTCTCTGAAAAAGCCAAGATTTCATAAATTAGAATTTACTATTCTGAATGAGGTAATATGCAGTCAAGCAAAATGATTTTACATGTACCCACCAGCTCTCAAGAGAACAGATTTCCCTGCATTGGTGATAGCACTTTTAGCTTGCTCTTCACTAAGTCCTAACAAGAGACTCCTGCAATCACTGCTAAGGAAAATTCAGAAAATTTATGACCACTGATGCTTATGAGCTATGATTGATTTTAAGATCGAAAAAAATTATGTATACATAGAAGGATACATGTTTATCACGTCGTATGGTCCTCTGACTTGCATGGGGTTTTCAGCACCACTTGAAATCAAGATATTCTGTAGAATACAAAGCAATTCTCTGTCAGTGCTGACAACAATGTTATTGTAAAAGTACTGTTATAAGAATTCAGTAAGCAGAAAAACTACCTTGGATTTACCAAATGCATGGTAGAGATGTCCAGCCTCAATCAAATTTCTTCGGGCATTGGAGTCAAGAACAGCTAGCGCATAGGGAAGCTCAAACCACATCCCTTTTTCAGCAGCCATATTGTAAAGTTTGCGATTCCATCGAATTGGCATTTTACTACTAATGTCAATAGAGATTATATCAACATCAAGAGCATTGCACGTGTGCTGAAACAATAAAATAATTGTCAGTGCAGTTCATTGATTTGTAAGAAACTATAGCCCAAGTTAGAGCCACTCAATACCTGAAGAGCCGCTTTTGAAGTTGGAATCACTGCTACAATATCATACTTTTTGAAATTATCTGAGGACACCTGTGGGTAATAGATAATTTAGATATAAATTAAATCAGATTCCAGGAATTTTTTATTTCAAAAGAGGACAACTCACCATTTTATGTGCTATATCGGAAGTTGAAAAATAAACTGTGACTCTATGTAGTATTTTCAGAGAATTTTTAATCTCCTGTAACGTAAATACATGATGCAATTCCAATTTTCAATATCTAAATTAGCAACTTCATATATGACAACGAATTGGGTATAGATCATTTTAAGTGTCAACTACCTGAGGTATGTCATCCAATGAGATTGGAGGAGGAATTGGTGAAGGAGCATCCTTATCAGCTTTTCTCTTTTTCTTTTTGTCTTGAGCTTCAAAAGCTGACTCTTCTACAATTTGATTTATGGCTACAGTTCGATAGCCAACTAATAAGAGCGACATAAAATAATATTCATCTCACTTGCAAAAACAAAACATAACCTAAGAGTCACATGCTGCTACACATCATTTTATAATTCGTACTTACAATCTATCAAAGTAGTAAGAACATTAACTAAAGCTGATTTAGATGCTGCAGTTACTGAAAGATCGTAGAATCCATGCTTACGCCTCATTTTATTTTAAAGTTTTCAATAGTTTGACTTGAGCGAGTGTCTCGACCCTATTTTTCATACAGTCTTCAACAATACGCAATTTTTCATACAGGCCTTAAGGAGTTTTTTTTTGAGTTTGTTTGTTGTGTAGAAAAGCAAGACGACAGCCAAAATACAAACTTTGAGAATCTCGCCCGGCTTGAATCGTGGTGTATCCCCGAATTGCTGAAGTACAGGAATCCACTTCAAGAAGACCCTTGCTTTTAACCGAGTTTTCTTGCAAGGAATTCTAATACACCTAGAGAATCAGTGATTAGTCTTTTAGTCACGGAACTTCTGTCCTGGCATAATCATACCCTTGTAAACAAAACACCATGACATCCCCGCAAAGTAAAGGCTTTTATATATTTGTTATTATATTGTAATGTGTAAAATTTATGCATTTTATTCAGTATTATGAGCTCAATCTATTCGAACGTTGTCAAGCTATCAAAAGCGGCTATACTTTCGCCACTAATGCTAAGAATTTTTTGTTTTGACAAGGATACTCAAAAGGCTTAGAAAATCTTTGCATTGAAGATGGTGACGTGGACCCTATTAACATTATAAGTGGTCAAGAGAGCAATATGTTTGATGAGGCAATTGGACATATAGAGGACGTCTTGATGGGTACCGTATTACATTTTATTAGTCTTCGGAGTTTTCTTTTCTATTATGCATCTCCTAAAATTGCGTGCACTAGTTCATCTCTCAATTAGTTTACTTTACTGTTCCTTTTTTTCTTTTCAGATCCCAAATTCCAAGATTTGCAAAAAAGTTTCTTAGAGAAATACTGGAATGAATTTGAGGATAGTGAAGAAAACAAATTAGTTTACATGGAGATCTTCAAGGAGTATGTAAGTAAATGAATTCTTTCAATTCCTTCAGGATTTATGATGATTTTTTTAATGCTGATTTTACCTATTTCCAGACTGATGTTGTGGAGAAATTTATAGAAAACCATTTAATACTGAGTATGAAAGACTTTTGTATGGAAAGCTTTACCTCTCAGTTGCAGTGAGTTTTAACTGATTCCTATTCTAATTATTATCCTTTTTCCTTGTCCAGTTTAACAATGAGAATGTTTCTTCCAGAGAAAGGAAAGATGAGCTTGAGGGAGAAGTGTTTGAAATACTCTTCACTTTCACTGACTTTTTAGTGTTTAAAGAAATGTTCCTTGATTACAAAGCTGTGAGTAGATAGAGGTATTTACCTTAACTGTTTGGAATTCAGTAATTCTAATTTTCCATTTCAATTTTAGGTGAAAGAAGGGCGCGTAGAAGATCTTGGTTTAAATATTCATGTTACATCGGTGTAAAATGTAGTTTCCAAGATATAAGCCATAGAGTGGATAAACTTTCCTTTTCATATCTCCTTGGGATCTCCACCAAAATCTAGTCCATAAGATACCATGAAAACTTAAATTATTTTAATGATTGAATAAGTACAATAAAGGCAGATTGCAAGATGATTTACACAACAAAAATTATTTTAGTGCATAAGGATTTCCATCTGCACCAACTTAGAATTTGTATCTCCGGGCAGTCTGTAGGGCATAGTTCCAGCAAAGCTAGTTATAGCTCTGGCTTGCTCTCTGTAAGATGCAAGTGGCTGTAAAACAAAAGCAAAATACTGTTATTAACATGCTACCAACAATGATGAAGGATAAAACTATACAAGCAGCGTTTCCATTACTTTGTCAGCCATACTGGTCTCGAGTCTAGATGAGCTTAGACTCATATTGACATTTCCCCTTGCTCTATTATAAAGAGAGTGTAATATAGTCATGGTTGCAATTAAGAGCTGAGGAAAATTGTGGCAGATATCATCACCCAGCTTCCGGAAATTATTAACTCTGTTCTCAACTTCTTCCGTTTTACTGGGTATAAGTCCCGATTCTACAATCAACTGAAAAAGAAGATGGAATTAAATTAAGAAGTGGTTTTTTTTCCCCTGAATGTTGGGCAGACAAACAACGAAGATGATAGATAATGTACCTCTAAGGCTTTCACATAATCTCCCGCATGATACTTGTCAAAGAACTCTAATAAATGCCTCAGGGTTTTAAAAGTACGGTAGGTTTCATCAGAGCAGCGGAATTTGTTTCCTTCAATACGGCGAGATACGTCTGTGGCCTTGGCAGCAAGACGGAAACGCAAAGAACCCTGCTGACTTACAAGGTGGACAACTTGACTTAAAAGGCCACTCATCAGGCTCATCACTTTCTCATGGTTCTGCAACACCAAGAAACAAATGCATTACAATTTCCTTTCCATTTTGTATTAGATAGATAAACTAAATCAGAGCTTGCTCACCCCAGCCAAATCATAGACTTCCAGAGCATCTTCAAATAATCCTTTCTTTTCAAGATTGGATGCCACCATTTCAATTATTTCACTTGGTTCAGCCTGCAATCAAACATCATGATTTAAAAAAAAAAAATTAACACAACCATTAACATTATTTCAGGACATATTTCGTGCACATCTTGCATGACCTAGTTTAACATAAAATTTGCCAAATATTCTAATTAGGTAATACTTATATGTGATGACTATTTTCCTAGATTGTTGGATAATGTAATTGAACATACTTGAACACCATTGAAAATGTCTATGATGCCTGGAGTTCTGCACCCATCAGGCTCCAATCTGCCTAGTATAGTGCTGAAGTCTCTCGACTCCATTGCCAGAGTTGAGATGCAAAATCTGAAGAGGTTGTCTCCAGAGGGTAATCTCATCCCCCTGCAAGGATAAAGAATTAATGAATAATAAGGGGAGAAGAAATAGAGGAAAGAAATAGAAGACATACAAACAGGAATTACCTCAAGAAGTAGTAATAATGCAATGCCTCCTTCATATCAGTCAAATTAAATCGCCTAACATAGTATTGGATCAAGCGAGCTAAATTTAATCGACGGTGTGGTGTTTGATCAGAGGGATCCACACATACTGATGATAAACCAGCAAAGAGTTGTCATTAGTAATCTGATGATAGAACAGATATTCCACACTACAAATATTTAATACATACATAGAGGTGACTCTGGGCAATTAGGTATCCCAAGGAGATTACACTCATGTAGAGCTATGGCCATGTGAACAGCATGAACTTTCAATTTGTCAATGCGCCACAAAAACTCAAGAGCCAACTCATATTGGCCAGTTAAAAAAAGCATTTGAAAATAGACATGAGGTTGTTCAAGGGCATTGTAATGAGACTCCCCTATATTAAAAAAAAAATATGCAGCTTAGTCACTGAGGTAATACATAAACCAAAATTAGCAATAAGAGGAAGTTTGGGTATGTTACCATAATCTTGTGAAATAAGTGTTTGCAAATGCTGAAGAGTTATATTTTCTCCTGATCTTGAATCAGTTCGCTCTCCTTCACGTATCTGGCAAAGCTTGAACCATAAATAATCATCTGCAGTTTTAGCTACTTCAGAATGCTCATCAGAGACATCACATGCTCCAAGGATACAGTAGACAGCCCTAAATTGGGGATTAGATGTATAAATTCTCAAAAAAAGGTATGCATTGTCAAATTAACGATAGAACTAGATGTGTAACTTATCACACACCTTTTGAATGGATCAGGAGACTTGCGAATATTACATCTATATTGGAACCTCACTGTTGACTCCATGCTAGGATCAAGGGCACGTTCTGGGCTGCTCTTCAAGGCTCCCAAAATTGCGCACAGGTCGGCCAGTTGAGCTCTAAAACAATGAAGATGTAGATAGAAGAACAAAAGAATTCAGATAGATAAAAATGACAACATAGGATTGTTATGTGCACAACAGTGATATTGACAGAACAAGTGAAACACTCAAATCTTACCCAGCTTGTGTTGCACATGATAGAGCAGCATCAATATCTCCACACCTTAGACAGTAGTAAAGTTGTGGCCAAATTGGCTTTTTGTCAACCTGACCATCTTCCAGCCCTAGCATTCCTTGCAAACTACCTAAAACTCTCAGGTCTACAAAACTGCGAACAAGAGACAGTGTTCCAGGAACACCGCCACGGCAAGCCAGGGCTAAATTGCCTTCAACCAGCTTTGTCATATATTTTTTGTATCTGTTAAAGAAAACTCACTGTACTATAATATGTTAGGCACCGTTAATTCTCAGTTTGTCATAAAAATATTCTGTAATACCTTTCTTCAAGGTATTTCCTTGCTTGCAAAATAAGTTGGCTTTGGGTAGGAGCTGACGTTCTAGTGAGAATAGGATTGTCTTTGAATTGTGGAGCAATGTGGGACATGTACTGCACAATTTCCCAAAGTTCATTAACTTTCTGAAAATTAAGATTATTGTTTGGGGGAATTAGAAGCTTCAAAGAAAGAAATGTTCAATCAAAGTATTGATATGCTGCTGAAGCACAACTTACCATGTTGTTAAATGACTCAGCTGCTTTGGCAAATTTGATCACAAGCTGAGGTCTGACTCCACCTTGAATGACACGATCATTATAGTCGATCACTTCTTTAGCATAAGCCATTTCCATGTGGTCAAGACGGCTATGAACAGGAGCTACATCAGCCACAGTTGAAGTCTAATAATAAAAACAAAGTGCAAATCAAAGTTCAATGAGTTTGGTCTATATGGAGGGATATATTCAATCCAATACTTATTACTAAAAGTTACCTCAGGTAGGCCTTGCAGATCAAGAGGTCTAGAAGACCCATGAAGAGCATTGAACATTTGTCGCATCTCCTTGGACCAATTTTGTCTGATACTATCCCATAGGCGTTGATCTGCTGCTGCTGATGACTAGATTGTACAGGACAAAATCTTCAGTCAAAAGAAAAAAAAATGGAGATACAGTAAAATCATGATAGAAAATTAGTACTGACCCTCCTATGAGTTCCCTCAATAAGAGATAGGAGAACATTCTCGACTTCATTTTTTAGGTAGCTTGAAATATCAGCTTCTGGGACTGGTTCTAAAGGCTCAAATGTTTTCCTTGTACTAAGTGTATCTAACTTTTGAGACAATTGGGTCAGATCCACTCCTTTGGATGCAAGCATCATATGTCTATAGCAAAACATAGAAATAGTTTTAAAAAAACCACATCAGATTCACCATCTGATAATACGAATAAAACTGCCAATCAGGAACACGTACGCCTGAATGTCGGGAGCTTCATGAAGAGTGACTTTGCTCCAGAGGTCATTGGATGCATCCAAAACCTGTCTGAGTGAACGTTCAACTTGAGGGAGTTCTCCAACCCCATCAATGTCATTAGCCAGCTGCTCAGCCTGGCTGAGAAGCTCTGAGAAGTCGTTGTCCATTTTGAAGGACTCTTGTGCTCTGTTCAAAACATAGAGTGTGCGGATTATAAATGGTAGTCCATAAACAATGCACAGTGGTATTGATATACAGGTGATTAGAAGCAGGTGAAGGATGCACGGAGAGACTGAAGTAGATATTGGAGACATTGGAGATCTATTGAATCTATTGTTGTTTATGCAACACAGACAAATCTGCACTTTGACAGTACAGTGAAGGTGTTTTAATGCTTGAAATAGTTACATAGAGTGTGCGAAAATGAAACTTCTCAATGGATAATTTCATGTTGGTGGCTAGAGTGGTCAAATTAAACACAGTTCGTAAACAATAATGATTTCACTACCGGCTTCATGCAAGGTGGTGGATAGGTTAGATACATACTTATCCACCGGCTGACATTAAAACATCAATCAACACTACTTTTAGCACCTGTTAAAAGGATAATAGTTATTTCACGTTCACATACCTCCCAAATAAGAAGAATTATGCAGACTTTGTACCGTTTAAAAGCTGTAATAAAATTTGCAAACAGGAGCTCCGCCTGTTCCCTCCACTAAAAACAAATTGAGTGTGTCCGAATTCAGCCACCGACCGAGCACCGACCGGTCGGTCGTCGAGCGGTCGGTCGTCGAGCGGCCGGTCGCGAGCCGCTCCAAGCAGCTATGCCCGCGAACCGCGAAATCCTTTCGCGGGGGATGATCGTAGGGCGCGGGTCTTACGCGGGGGATCGTCGCGGGTCCTCCGCGGGTCCTCCGCGGGGGTAGTCGCGATCCGCAACCATCCCCAGCGAAAGGACTTCGTGGTTCGCGGTTGGCATAGCTGCTTGGAGCGGCTCGCGACCGGCCGCTCGACGACCGACCGCTCGACCACCGACCGGTCGGTGCTCGGTCGGTGGCTGAATTCGGACACACTCATTGGCTTCGGGTCACCACATGCTGCGAGGCTAGGCTACACCTTTAACCAGAAGTATGAGAAATCAAATCTGGATTTGAGTTGTTTTGGCCTGGTTTTGGTGTTTTGAGAACAAGATAAAAACAACTTAAATGCTTGAATATCCCGGATGTGAAATCCACTGTTACTGGCTGTGCTTTATGATTTTGAAAAGCAAAACAGATGATACCACTTTTGGTGTGAGCTCTGCGGTGATGAGCTAATGGTCTTCAGCAGGTCTTCCCTCTCATAAAGCAGCCAGGTAGGTAGACATAGAAGACACGCATATAGATTATTCTTTTTTATTAATAGTTAATCATGTTTCTGATACATAACAGGATTGATTTTAAATTTTAACTATCACAGATGTGTTTTTAGTAAAAAGTTTGTGAGATATCCTAACAATTTTCAAACAAAATGTGTAAAATGTACAATTACTACATGTCCTGCTTTTTAGTAAACTGATATAATCCGAATAACCTTTAAATTAAAGCCAAAGTACTTAGAAACTACAAAAAGCTTAACATTTTTTCCACATTTACACTAGGGCAGTAGAAAAGGTGAATTACAAACAGCAAACAGCCTGTAATGAATCGTAAGAGGTTTCCAAAGAGAAGGGAACAATAATTTTCCAAATAAATAAAAATCAACTTAAAACAAAAACAACAACTTATAGGTCATATTCCAGCACACTGCTTACAAAACGCTTTTGAAAACTTCAAAAATCTAGGAAAAAAACAAAAAACAAAAAAAAAAAAACAGAAAAACTGAGATGAATGTTTGGGAGTTCATCAGTATAGTTTTGAAGCAAGGTCATTTTGGCACAAGCACTGAAAAGTAACAACCTCTCAGCTCTTATCTCACGAATTAGACAAAATAGCTAAAGGATTAATCAATTAGATATGTTTCATAACAAATGATACACACATTTTGTATTCAAACCAAGACACTCTCATAAATATATTAAAAGCATACCTACTTTAACAGGACAAACAAGCGCCTGACTAGAAGACACACAAAAACATTCAAAATTTGAAGAAGCAAAGCACCAATAGTTAAAAAGAAATATATCAAACTTTGTGTAAAACACTACACAATCTACAGCAACACAACCCTCTCCAGTGAAATCTTAAAAGGCAATTTACATGAAAAGTGCTTTTATTCAAAGGTTGGAAGAGACATAGATTTTTACAATCCTAGGGGGAGCCTGAGGACGGATAGTACAACTAATACTTATTTCTACAAAACAATATGCAGTATAAATGTGTTTTTAAGTTGAAGTTTTTTTTTATGTTTACAAATTTATTTTGTTTTAAACAAGACAGGTAATATGGAAACTATAAGATGATGTGGTGGTACACATCTTATTTTGAGAGAATGGTGAGTTGTGCAGTACAACAAATTGCAATTGCCATTATCTTGTATTCCCTTGAAAGTTTCACCACCCAAACTGAACAGGAAATCTTGATATTAATCTCTTCATTTCAGCATTAGCTGGTCTCCGAACACTGCTCATTGTAGACCTATGGCCACAGCAGTTCGACCGCACCTCATGGGCTGTTGATAGTGATTTGGTATCGAATCCAAGTTCTTTTGAGCGGTTCTTCGAGTGCCAAACTTTTACTGTGCAATCATCAGATACCGTAACCAACATTTCAGAATCACGAGGATTAAAAGCAACACAGTTCACAACATCTTGATGGGGATACTTATTCAAACATATCTCATACTTCCGATCCCATAAATAGCCATGTTTATCTTCAGCACCACTGTTGGGAAAACATCAATAAAAACAAATGAGTTCAGAAATTATAGTAATTTAAGATGTACAGTACATGGTTTTGATAAACATAGAAAGTACCTTGCCACAAATTCGTTGCACACATCAAGGGCAATAAAAAAACATTCATTAAATGGTGTATATGCGATGTGGGACCGTAACACTTTGCCCACTTCCTTCATTTCACCTAGATCAATTACATGTATATCAATTTCTTGAGCACATGGAGGAGGCATCATTGGATTTTCAACCACATATCCAGGTGGCCAGGGACGGGCATTAACATATAGATATCTGCAAAAACACCAAATAGTGTAAAAAACTGAATTGAAGAAAACATATTTGTAGGTATACAGGTACAAGAAAAATTCCAACCTGTGATCAGGAGACAGACCCATCCCAATGATGTGACCATGTAAATCTATGAGATGGTCAACTTCGTCATAATCAGTTCCCTCTGCATTTGCATTTTGAGCTTCATTTGGATTTTCATTTGGAGGTTGGTATTCTCGATTGAGATTAGCAATTCTCTCACGAAATGGTAATCCAGGATCCATTCTTCGTGGAAATGAGATGGGTTTGATACGCTTAATACCTTTAAACCGGGGATAATATATTAATTTGAAGACTGCTTTCATTAAAAATATTTAAAAACTCACCAAGGTGAGCATGATTGAGCAATCTAATTACCAATTTGATGTGGTGAGTATGTATTTGACCCAGTTGTAAATATTAGAAATTTATCCTCTTGAACACACAATTCATCTTCTTCACTAAATTCAGTCTCAACTGATGTCTCAGATAATTCTGATATATCTGATTCATCGTCAGAACACCTCTCAGTTACTGTAAGATAACACCAAGTCAATACTAGTTTCTACATAGAAAAAATTGTATGATAGACGGATTGACAGAATTTGACATGTACCTTGTATTTCATTGGCACAGGGTTCAAAGTCTTCAGTCCCAGGCCCACACTCTGAGCCACAAATTCTTTTACTAGTGCCCTGTATATCATAAAGTGAATCTGAAAATTCTCTGGACTCATAGTTTGATTTGTCATCTTCTGAATGATTTGGACTTCTCTCCCTTGAAGATGTTTGAGAACTATCACACAATGTTTGAGAGTCTCCATGATCCAATACAGAGCAGTAAGCAAACATAGCAGCTCGAACAGAGCTGCCATTGCAATTGTAGAACCTGAACATTTGGTTCATTATAGGAATATGTTCAGAAGCCGTTTCTTGAGATGCCTTGTTTAGCCATAGAACAGACTGACTTTCAAGATGACCCAGTCTGTGCACATCTCCTGACAAGAAATGCTGGTCACTGTACCATGCACCACATATATCATAAGGTTTCATCAGCACACGACACTGAAGCTCCAAATCATCTACAGAGTGAAATATAACATAAAAATAAAATTTTAGGGGCAAGACAACAAAAAGTAATTAGAATTCAACAAAGAATATTCAACATACCACCTAAACTGAAAACAGCAATTTCACCAGAGGTACTTTGTGGTAAACCAAAATGCACACCAGAAACTAGGAGAAGAGTGTCTGATTGATTAAATTGTGAAAAGTGCGTGAACTTCCAACAAAATTTTGTCATGTCTCGTTGATATTTGATGGCAACTGGATGCTGAGCATTCCAAACCTATTATACAAAATTTTTAAAAATTAATGTGAAAACTAGCTTAGGCAACCACAATAACTACAAATGCCACCTGATTTAACATTTTTTATTATTTACTCACCACAACATAACCATCTTTGGAACAGGTTGCAAACATTGTGCCATTGTGAGCAAAGCTGACATGCAGAACTTGATCAGTGTGTTTTTTCAATTCACTTGTTTGGTAATGTGGTACATGATAGGACAGACGTTTGTATTCAGAGTACCAAAATGTTTGCCCTAAAAGGAGAGGACAAAATTAATAAAGTTGCTTCTTGGCGTGACTTTAAACATGCTTTAAAAAGCACTGAATAAATCCCTTACCTTGTATTCCCGTAGAAGGCTTAACACCAAAATCTTTTCTTATTAGTGCTCTCCACAGCAAATCATCAGTGCTTGTTTGGTGCCAGGTACTACAGGTGAGTCCTGCACTGGTCAGTTCTGGAGCAGAAAGGTACTGAAAAATGTTAAGTAACAAAGGCTTTGGAATGTGGTACCAGCTATTTGCCAGTAGTCTTTTGCGGTGCTCTACAAAACTAATTGAGTCAGCATCTAAACCAGCAGCATCAACTTCCTCAGGAGACATTTTTCCTAGAAATAAATAAATTTATATTATTTTCAAAACAAAACATAAAAAAATAATTAACAAGAGGTATCCCATGGGCCTTTTTATATTTTAAAAAAGCTGGAAAAGATGATTTGAAATTTGACAGTACTAATTTCTTTGAAACTCACTTTGAAAATTATTTGTTTTCATCAAATCCTGATTATCCGTCATTGTCACACCTGAAATTTCAAGTTTTCAAAAGATTAGCAGGGTATAGAAACACAAAAATTGGAATTCAAGCAGATGACTCAGAGATTTCAAATTACAGTAGCTATTTGGCCTCTTAACAAGGACACTTTCTATTTCATTTTTTACAACAACTGCAAAGTTTTCTGAAAATTGTTCTCTACACGACAAAAAATAATATTATTATTGTTTAGAGGTATAGAGGACACATCAAAGATTGACTGCATTATGAAACTGTCAAATTTTGAACCCAAAAATTTAAGTTATGGGCAGTTATAAGTTTTTCTTAACAACTCCGAAACTTTAACCACAATCGCAAAGGTACCGACGGACTGACAAGTAATTCGTGTCTTGGAAGCTATTATATCAGTGTTAGAGGAAAATATGTCATTTTAACCATAACATAACCTTACAATATTGTGAAATCTACTGTTACTCGTCGCTATTGAAAATCTTTGCATTACCTCGGTCGCATTAACTACATGGGAATGGGATGACAGTGAGAGATAAAGCTGAAAGGTAGATAACTAAATTATCGCAGCTTAAATATCGTCCAGCTGACTCGCTTCGTTTGTTGTGTTGCGAGAGAAGACGGGAAGACAGACGGACAAACACACGAACACATGAGTCAGACAGACGGACCGACCGAAGGGGGCGGGCGGGGAAAAAATATATAGGTGGGGGAGCCTAGGGGCCACGGTTGGGAGAAAGGATAATTCGACCATTCGACGAAGGCCGAATGCGGAAGGAAACACAAACCTCTGCTGGTGGCCATTGCTCACAGAAACAAGAACTTTTGTTGACACTGAAATAAGAAAAAGACAGTCCCGCCGGGGAAGTACCGCGCAAAACAAATTACGCATGTGAATTCATTTTTAAAGGAGGAGGCCCCTTCGCTTCCCCGCTCAGGCAGCTCCACTTCCTTTCCAGCATATCGGTCATTGCCACGATTGTCGAGGAAACCAACTATCGCCTTATCCTTCCGACCCTTCCATGCTCTTTTACCTGCGGACGCGATGTGCAGCGAGCAGAGCATAGGGCGCAAGCGCCCGCCACTCAAGGCTGCGGTGTCCCGATGCGAAAACGCATCATCGTCGGTCTTCTGATGTGGGTAAGATTAGGTGGACGTAGCTGATTCGCCCTCCGTCGACGCTCTTAGTCATACTGTACCGCCACGCTGAAGTGCTGGGCGGGGTTGCCTATACTCGCGGCGCCATAAGGCCCGACACCCGTGCTCGCGCGTGCATGCGGTACAGTGGGTACAGTCGAAAGAGGGCTGAGCTTGCAAGTCACCCCTGCATTTAGACTTTTAACAAGTGCAACTGACACAGCGTTGACATAATTTAGACGTTTGCGTTACACACTCTTGTGGGGTCAGTGGCACTTCCCTCTGCTCATGCAGCAGGCAACGTTTTAATAACCATTTAGTCTTGACAACAACTGTAAAACCAGGTCCTCGTGAGCGGCGACCGCCCCGGAGAGGATAGGCATGACGAGGACCACGTCCACGAGGAGCGCACGCTGGCGCACGCCAACTGCTACGGGCTGCCCGCCGAGCTGATCGCCGGCGACGCCGAGTCCCTCCTCGCCCTGTTGCTGTCCGAGGAGGGTCGACGCGTCGCCAAGGAGTCCGCCCTGCGCACTCTGCTGGCGAACGCCACCAGTGAACGCGCCGCAGCTATGCTTCAGGTACGCCATGTAATTCTACTTTTATTGTGAAAATAATCAGCAGAATTATTTTTCTTGTCCTTATCATTGTGGATGGGAGTTGTATCTCGGCCTGCATGCGTGCAAATTGATGATATTTTGGGTCCGGTTTGAAATTATTGAACTCCCAGCCTATTGTCCATTATCGGTCTGTGAAGAACGTTCGCGGAATCTCCATCTGCGGCAACGCGTGGCTGGACTGGATACCGTGGCTTCCCTGCCGGGTCCAGTCGCCGCCCCCGCGGCCCTACTTCGAAGACGAGGAGCGGGGAGGCGACGGGGAAGGACCGCTCTGCCGGCCGACGGAAGACTAACTTTTAAAAGTTGCTGAAAATATGTTTTCACGAAATAAATTGCTGATGCTGGAAACAATAACGAGGGTCTCAATCATTCTGCGCGCAAGTCCCGCGAATAGCATCTTGGCGAACAAGTTTGAAAAGACCGCCTCCTCCATGTGTCGGCAAGCCCAAAACTTTTGACCCAACGTAACGCCTCTCCAATTTGATAGCTAAGGAGGATAAAATATCGCGAAATAAATATTCATAACAAGAAATCAAAAATTTAATATCAAGTGTTTGAATAGGCCCCAACCAAATTTTGGGATATCAAGGACTTCTTCATTTTTTTTCTTTATAGGTTGGTCAACTTGAAAAAACAAACGGGCTGCAATTGTTTTTTTTGTCGTCTGTCGTGGTCAGGTGGCCTAGAGGTTAGAAACTCATGTAAACATCGAATAAGTATTTCTAATTTGAGAGCGTCGTAGACAGGTGATGTATTTTCCAGGTTATTTTTTGCATAAGGACTGTGTGTTGTCTTTTATGGTTGTGCTCTAAATATTGTGGCGAACGTGCTAAAGTCCCTTCCAGAAATCATAACCTACGATTCTTAGCACAATCATAGGAATAATACCATGTGGTGTAATAATGTCGCGCTCTGTTCTGACTTTCCTATGTTTTTTCTTGTTTTCAGTTTTTACAATGAGCACCCGGAAAGGTGAATCAACCAGGAAAAGGGCTCAGAAGTATCAAAACACTAGGGCATTCAAGAACGATCTGTATGATAAAACAGTTCAGACAAAAGTGTTGAACAACTTGCATATTAGTAATGTTTGTGCACGTTGTAAGAGTATTCTGGATTGGAAGATAAAGTACAAGAAATTTAAGCCCCTGAAAGCAGCCGCCACTTGCACGAAATGCTCCCAGAAATGCGTGAAGCATGCCTATCACATTATGTGTAAGCCGTGTGCTGATAAAAATGGAGTTTGTCCCAAATGTGGTAAGAAGGAAGAATTAGTGGAGCCAGAACCTACTCCCGAAGAGCAACTGAAGATGGATCAAGAGATGCAGGCCATGCTTAAAAGTTTACCCGAACGCAAACGTAGAACATTTTTGAGATTTATGGAAAAAGGAACAAAGAAAGATAAAGATAAAAAGAAAAAGGATAAAGAATACAAAGGTATATCTTTTGTTGAAAGTTAACTGTAATGTGGCTTCTTCATGATTTTCTGGAACTGACTTTCCTTTACTTTACAGGTGAAGACACCAGGCCCGGTGATTCAAAAGAGGTGGAGGATGAAGATGAAGACAAGGCTAAAATAGGAACGCAAGATCTTATGGCGTTTCTACAACGGCTCAAACTCTCCTGTAAGGAAGGAGATGGCTTAGATGATTTGGATGATTTTGATGGTTTTGGTGATTCTGATTCAGATGATTTTGGAAGTGATGATGACGATGATGATGAAGAGGAAGAGGAGGAAAAGTGATTGTAAATTAATTAGCTCTTTTCTATTAAAATTGTTATTTTCCGTCTAGATCTAGTTTTCGCTTTGATTTTATTTTCCTCGGCTCTTCAAGTAATAATGGTGTTGCCGATCTGGCGCTACGCTGTCAAATGGGCTGCCTACCTCCCGGGCGCTGTGACGGGCGCGTCCTTCTGATGTGACACAGACGTGCTCTTGCTGTAGTAAATGTTTTAACTCAAAAATATTTCATTGCAAGATGCAATTGTAAGAATTCAAAACTTAAATGTGAGGCATTTTTTTTTTCAAAATTTTCATGAAAAATCTAATTTAATTTCTTTTGATAAATAAATTAGCTCGTTCACTCTCCAGAGAAAGTGAAAACAAGGCGCGACGTGCCGGCGTGTCGCCCTGATCCGCTGGGCCGGGTGTGCAGTGGTGCAGCCCCGGCCTGCACGCACGCCCCGCGCGTACCCGCGAGTCCCACTCTCTCCCCCCTCCCCCCCCCCCTTCAGCTACAGCGGGGCTCACCTTCAACAAGCGTCCAACTCAGATGCGCCGGACTACATCACTCCCACTATGGACGTCGTCCAGTGTCGCGAGCCGATAAGTGTGGGCAATCAGGATGTCCGCCAGCCGCGGCGAGATCTCGCGTAGGGTGCAGTATTCAAATAAAGAATTTTCAAGGGGTGAAATAGATATTTCACGGCACTTAAATTGAGTTTGAGGTTTATAAGTAGGAGCAGGAAAAATGTTATGTACGGTAACACCTCCACGAGAAGGAGCCCTTCCCTTTTATTTTCTCATTTCTTAAATTATTGTTTTTAAAAGCCTCGTGTCCACATTATGGAGTGCCGCGCGAAGAAAGTGCCCCATCTTCCCCCATAAAATAACATTTTAGTGTACGCCGCCGCTATGGTGGCAAGCGTAGCGACCGACCACGGCGATAGGCAGCTCACGTCGCTCACGTCTCCCCGGGATAGCACCACCGGCGGCACCGCCCCGCCTACAACTAAAAACAATTTGTTTGGGGCTCTGCCTTAAAAAAATCGACTTTAAAGCGCGCCCTGGCATGGCATGGAGGCCTGACGGATAATCGGTCGAATCGACGACGTTGTAGGACCGACGGATCTCTTTTCCCGGCCCGTAGGCGGAGCGCCTGGTGGTCGGCCGCGCGGGTCGTTTAACTGAACCCGCTCCGAGCGGGGAAGCTCCATGGAAGCACCCATAATGAAGCAGATCTCAAACGACGCCGGCCCTCGGCCCCCCCGGCCCGCCAGAAAGCAGAGAGAGAGACGCTTCTTGCTTTCTCCCCAATCATATGGGTACGGCCCGATGGAAATGGCCGGTATGCATATTCAGAGGGAAAAATCGGTGGTGTTGGCCTATCCACTGCGGCACTGTAGAAGCGGTAGTGGCACAGTAGGGGCCTGTGCCCAAACCCTGTGACTTCAGGGGGGGAGGGGCGTGGTAGTAGCATGTTATGGGGAACCGTACGGTCAATATTTAAGTCACAAGCAACCCATGATATTTGTACCCAGGAGTACGAATGTCATAGGGCTAGCGGGCTCAGGCCACCACGACGCCTACTGAGCCCGGGTGGGCAGTCCCGCAGCACACGCGTGTCCGACGGACCAGCACGACGCCT